ACACATCCACACACTTTCACACTCACACATTCACACGCACATTTACACCTACTTTCATGCGCACACACATTCACACCATTCACATGCATATTCACACTCACATTCTCTGACCCATTCACACATTCACACCCACACCTTCACACTCACACATTCACACACATTCACACTCACACATCCACACACATTCACACACATTCACATGCACATTCACACCTGTTCTCACACGCACATTCACACCTGTTCTCATGCACACACACTAACACACACATTCACACCGTTCACATGAACATTCACACTCAGTCTCTGACCCATTCACACATTCACACCCACACTTTCACACTCACATTCACACTCACACCTTCACACTCATTCACACACTTCACACTCACACCTTCACACGCATTCACACACCTTCACACTCACACATCCACACACATTCACACTCACACATTCACATGTGCATTCACACCTACTCTCATGCACACACACACATTCACACCATTCACATGTACATTCACACATTCTGACCCATTCACGCATTCACACCCACACCTTCACACTCACATATTCACACACATTCACACACCCACACCTTCACATTCACATTCACACTCACACCCACACCTTCACACTCACACATTCACACACATTCACACTCATTCACATTCACAGTCACACCCACACCTTCACACGCACATTCACACACATTCACACTCATATTTCTCTGACTCATTCACACATTCACATCCATACCTTCACACTCACACATTCACACACCCACGCCTTCACACACATTCACACTCATTCACACACATTCACACTCACACCCACACTTTCAGATTCACACATTCACACACATTCACACACATTCACACTCACACCCACAACTTCACATTCACACTTTCACACGCATTCACACACATTCACACTCACTCACACCTTTACACTCACACATTCACACATATTCACATTCACACCCACACCTTCACACACACATTCACACTCACATTCACACACATTAACACTCACACCCACACTTTCACAGTCACATTCACACACATTCACACTCACATTCACACACATTCACACTCACATCCACACTTTCACACTCACATTCACACTAATTCACACACATTCACTCACATCCCCACCTTCACTCACACATGCACACATTCACACTCACACATTCACACACATTCACACTCACACCCATACCTTCACACTCACACAGTCACACACATTCACATGCACATTCACACCTATTCTCATGCACACTCACATACACATTCACACTCACCATTCATGCACATTCACTCTCACATTATCTGGCCCATTCACACACTTTCACACTCACACATTCACACATTTACTCACATACACACATTCACACACACATTCACATTTGCCCATTCACACACACATTCACACTCCCACATTTACACACATATATTCACACATTTATACTCATATACACTCATACATTCACATTCACCCATTCACTCACACATTTACACTAACACATTCACACATTCACACTCAGTTACACATTTACATTTTTAGTCATGAACACATTCACACATTCACACTTATCCACATTTACATTCACATTCACACACACACACATACACGTTCACACATCTCCTCTCAGTTCCCATACAGGCAAGCTCCCTAGTCTCCGGGCCCTTTCTGGAAGCCACCATGGAGTGCACATTCCCAGATCTGAGCTCCTAGAATCTGTCTTCTCTTCTCCTCAGAAGCCTCACCCCGATTTTCATTCAGGTGTTCACCCCTCCCTCACCCAGTTCAGCCCACCTCCAGCTCCAGACCCTATTTGTCTTGAGCCAATCTACAAGTGCCATCCCAGGCCACAGCAACTGGTTCAGGATTCAATGATGAAAAAAAAAAATAATTTCCGGGGTGCTTCTCAGAAGGAAGTATGCAGGCATCAAACTCAGAACTACTCAGCCCCAAGATGAAGCTGCTGCCCAGAGGCCAAGGGGGCCAAGAGCATCTCAGAGGGCCTGAGCTACAGCCACCCAGCACCCAGTGCACCAGGCACAGCAGCTGAGCAGAGGGACCCAGTGTTTGGCCACCCCTCATGACATGCCTGTATGCAGCCTGGTGTTGGGGTGACTGAGGCCAGGGGTATGGGTACTTAAATTCCCAGAGGCAGGGCCAAGGATCTTCAGGCCACCAAAACTGAGAGAAACACCAACACGATTACCATATCCAATCAAGGACAAGGGCCGAGAGGCCGGGCCAGCAGCAAGGCCAGTGTTGGGGCCGCGGTGGAAGACCAGGGAACTGGCAGGAGAGTGGGGAGCAGGGTCGCTGCCTGCGCCAGTACGGATGCTTCTGAGAGACTCTGACAGCGGAGCTGGTGCGGGGCCTGAGGCCTCGGGGCCATTTGCACTGATAAGGTGTGTGTGGGATCATTTTAGCTTCCAAGTTCCATGACTCAAAATCCTGCTCCTGCCAGCAAACGAGTTTGTAACATAGAGTAATAAATAAGTAAATTGATTTTCTGAAGATTTCCATGGGGTTTCAAAAGTGACCACACCTTCCAAGAAGCCTCCATGCAGGGCCCGGCCCTCCCTCAGGCACCTGGGGTGCTGCAGCCCACCCCACAGCCCCCACACGAGGGGCGGCCTTCCTAGACCTCACTCCCCAGTCCTGGCTCCAAACCCCCACTGTCGCGCCCGCCACGCGCTGGCTCCGGGAGGCTGGTGGGGAGCCACACAGAGGGCTGCCCGCGGTGGAACTCTTCCCAGGCTCACACTCGGCCCTCCCAGGGTGTGGGGTCTGCAAGGCCTCAGATGAGTCCCAGAAGCCACAGCCCTGGCCTGCCTGATCTGAGAGTCAGGAGCCCTGCCCAGGGTCTGGGCCTCCGTGGCCACCTGTCAGCCCAAATCAAGCCAGAATGCCAAGCCCTCCGGGACATTACATGTCCAGCTGCCAGGCACGGAGAGCAGCCCGCACCTCTCCCGGCCTCCACCATGGCTCACCTTCACTCCACCTGTTGCTATTTCCTCCATCCCATCCTGGCCTGGGCCTTCTGCTCTGCCCAGCCCTTCAGCTCACTGGCCTGTTCGTTCATGCTGCCTGGCTCTGAATGTCCCTTGCACTGCCATGAACCTAGTGACACCCCGGCTCCCAGACACACGTCTCAGTTCAGACTTTGGGCCGCTGCCCCTCCCCAGCAGCGTGGGAACCTCACACCTGGCCTCCCTCCCTCTGGAGCCACAGGCTCCCCATCCCCGATCCTGGCCCTGCTCCCTCTGGCAAGAAGCCCCCTGCAGGCACTGACCATGTGGTACAGAGCAGGGCTGCTCCTTACCCCAGTGGCGAGGGCTGGGGGTAAAGCCGAAAGCTGCCATGGGACACTTCTTGGAATCTTATATTGTCATAAAACCTGATCTAAATGCTTTCTCCCGGAGAATGTGTTTTAGATGAAGTTTGTTTTTATTTTGTTTTGTTTTTTAATTTTCAGGTTGAAATAAAAGCAACGACTCCCCGTGATGGCACTGTGGCTGCACACTTCACAAAGCCCAGGGCATGTGCACCCAAGCTCAGAAGTGGGCTGGGCTCCAAGCTGGCTCCACCCACAATGAGCCGTGGACCTTGGGCAGGGAAATGAGGCTCCACCCACAATGAGCCGTGGACCTTGGGCAGGGAAATGAGGCTCCACCCACAATGAGCCGTGGACCTTGGGCAGGGAAATGAGGCTCCACCCACAATGAGCCGTGGACCTTGGGCAGGGAAATGAGGCTGCCAGGGAAGAAGCGACGAAGGAGGGAGTGAAGGCAGGCAGGAAAGGTGGGAGCTCTCCAAGCAGGGGCAACCAGAAAGGGACTCTGTCCCAGCTGCTGCGACTTCCACTGCTCCTGGAAGCCATGGATGGCAAAGCCAACACTATCTGCCCCCCACAGGACCAGGCAGGGCCACAGCAATGACAATCCTGCCACCTAAAGCAAAGCCCAGGGGCTTTACCCTGGAATAAAACTCCTACTGTGACAGTTACCTCACTCACTGGCTGTAACTAGTACTAAAGGGAGCCATGAGCTCCTTCTACCTGGGAGTGCAGGCTGCTCCCTGGGCCCATGAGCACAGCCCCCGCAGCTCCTGGGAAGCTGGTGCTCCACTGCTGTTTGTCGCGGCTGCTCAGACCTGTCGGAGTCTGCCGATGGAACTGAAGCGCCCAGGGCGGGGTCGGCAGGGGTCATGAGATGAGGCACAAGCCAGGCCAGCATGCCTGCCCCCGACCCAGGCCCTTCAGGTCCCACCAGACACAAGCATTGCCCTTGGTCTGGGGTCAAGTGCTCAGACCCACAGCCCCGTGCCACCACTCACCTGCCGGTAACTGGACCTCCGTGGGCCTCGGCTTCCTCATCTGTGAAAGGGAGTCCTGGTATCTGACCCACAGGTTCTCACGCGTTTATTAGAAATAAGGTCACCGGCATGGTGGCTCACACTTGTAATCCCAGCACTTTGGGAGTCCGAGGCAGGTGGATCACCTGAGATCAGGAGTTCGAGACCAGCCTGGCCAACATGGTGAAACCCCATCTCTACTAAAAATACAAAATTAGCCCAGTGTGGTGGCTCACACCTATAATCCCAGCTACTCAGGAGGCTGAGGCAGGAGAATTGCTTGAACCCAAGAGCGAAAGGTTGCAGTGAGCCGAGGTCTCACCATTGCACTCCAGCCTGGGTGACAAGAGCAAAACTCTGTCCCAAAACAATAAAATAAAAAAGGTCACTTAGGACAGCATTCAACGGACTTCTTGGGCACAGATGGCTCACCAAAGCCCCTCACCCAAGCCCGCAGTCCCTGACCTCCAGCTGACCACTCCTAAAAATCCCAGGGGCCAGGGGCTGAAGCCCTGGGGTGCACCAGCCCAGAGCAGCGGGCCTTGGGGAGCAGACCATCTTGGTAAGAAAGCCACAGATAATATGGCTCCAACCACACTCACGGACAAGAAGAGGGAGAACAAATACACAAGCGTTTTCTGAGTGTTTTTATCGGTTTTTTTGGTTTCATTTTGTTTTGAACACTAAGATTTATTTTCAAACAGCACACAGACCATCTGCGGGGCAGGGCCAGGCTACGCTGGTGTCTGGGCCCCACCCACAGCAGCTGCCAGGAAAAGAGGACCCTTGCCCGGGTGGCACGGCCAAAGCTTCAGGCAAGCATGGTGGCTCGGCAGCCCCCAGCCCCGCCCTGCGGCCAGGCACACATGCGGGCACGGGCAGGGGCGCCAGGAACTGAACTAGGGGACACAGCAGCTTCAGGAACACTGGTGAATTCCGCCGGACTTGCCGGGACGCGGCTCTTTGGAAAACGACCTAATCTTTGGGAGAACGCCCCTCTGCCTGGGGGTCTCCTCTTGATTTCCCTTTGCTCTTCAAAAGATTAAAAACAAAAACAAAACAGAAAAAAAGAACCACACATTTTTCGGGAGGAGGTGTTCTTCACACGCCCAGAGGCTGCCTGGGCCCCGCCGTCACGGGACCCTCTCGGTGAAGTTCTCCGGGAAGACCCCGCGGCACTTCTCCAGCTCCTTGTGCTGGTTCCAGTCGCTCTCCTTCACGCCCATGAGCCAGCCTTCATCCTGAGGGGCAGAGCACCGGGTCGCACAGGCATGAGCAAGGGGCTCCAACCCACAGGGCACGCATCCCACTCCAACCTACTGGGAAGACGGCCCCTCCTCCTGCTGTTCTTGGCCCCTTAGCCTGCCAAGCCCACCTTGAGAACACCTCCCCCAGGCAGCCCTCCCCGATGCTGCTGGCTGAGGCTCCTGCCCACAGGCACCACAGGAGCTGGCCTGTCGTCTGCTGGTGGCTGGTTTTGGTGAGTCCCACTGCTCTCTGGTCTGACTGTCTAAACAACTCCTTCAATACCAGTCAAGAGGCTCCCCACCCCTGGGTGCACGCAGAGCACATCAGCCCTTCCAAGCTTCCAGGCTTCTCAAACCACCCCAGAGTGTTTTGGGAGTGACAAGTTACAAGTTCTAGAGGGACTCAGGGCCACCCCACCAGTCCCTCCAATTTCGACTTGCCCTTTGCTTCAATCCTGACCCCCGCAGGGCTTCTCCAGGCCCCAGGCGGGTGACGGGGAGCTGCGTGGCCATCCACACCTGACAGTGGCTGGTCCGAGGCTGTCCCTGCAGCTGGGCTGTGCCTGGGGCCTACCTGGGTCTTTGTTATTTCCCTCTGCCATTGTCAACCTCGTCACAGACCTTACTCAAGCCCTATCTGAGCCCCTTCCAGCACCCCAGGGCAACTCCCACTGTGGGCTCTGGGTAGGTCTGCTTGAAATCCTACCCAGCCAGGGCTGGCCCACTGGGAGGTCCGTGAAGATCTGGGGGCGTAGGAGAAAGAGCCGAATCAGTGCCAGGCCCAGGAGGTCCTCAGCCCTCGGGCCTCCTGCCCCAGACCTCAGTAAGTACCCGGTACCCCTGCATCCCAGCCCAGGACTCCCCGTAGGGTCGACCTCATCCAAGACCCAGCCAGACCCACTGTCACCCTCAGCCGCTCTGATAACCCATTCCTACAGATGCACTGACGGCTAAACATGTTCTCTGGAAGCAGGAAGAGGCCGGCCCGGCCCTCTGTGCACAGCCCGAGGTGCTCAGGGGCTGAGCCATGGAGGGAGCCGGATGCCCACCTGCACCACCAACCCCCCCCCCCGCCATAAGCAAAGCTGGCGCTACACAGCAGGGAGGCTCCTGCCAAGAGTCCACGGCCCCCTGGGTGGGGCAACTGACCCAGATCCAGGAGGGTTCCAGACCCAGAAGGGACACACTTAGCACCCGCCCAGGCTCAGCAGGAGCCCTCACTTCCAGGAGATTAACACGAAGCCACCGCAGGAGGAGAAGGGTCTGGAAGGCATCTCGGGTGAGCCTCAGCTGGGGACACAGCTGGGAGACCCATGGCCCTGCGTGGACAGGGCAGGCCCGCCTCGAGGGGCGGCATACGGGGCTTCATGAGCCCAACCAGTGCTCCAGCCACCGCGGGGTGGGCACCTTGTGGGCGGGGCAGGAGGAGTCAAGCATCCTGCCTCTGGAGGAAGGCAGGCCTCAGGCACGCCGCCAGGAGAGAAGGCGAGAGACAGAGGCAGAGCTGAGAGCGCCTGAGCAAAGCGGGACGTGGGGAGAAGAAAGCAGAGGCTACAGGAAGAAGGGGGTATGGTGACAGGGAGAGAGAGAAGCCTAACAGGAGAGGGGCGGAGGAAAGGGAGAGGAGAGGAAAAGGCCAGACGTGGAGGGCGGGGAGGAGCAGTCGGCGCAGGAGGCCTGGTGCTCGCGAGCCTCTGCTGCCCCCTGCTGGCCTGTCCCTGCCGCGACGGTGCCAGCCGAAGCCAGGTTGCCTGCGGTGCCCCTGAGCTCTGGCGGCCCCGCCCAGCCCTCACCTGCTCCTCAGGGTTTTGGAAGGGGATCACCAGCACCACGTCGCCAGCCTTGAGCTGCAGCTCGTCTGTGTCGGTGGCCGTGTAGTCGTGCTGGGCCTGTACCTGCAGAGGATGCGGACGTCGAGTCAGACCTTCCGTCCCACCTCCGGCCCTGCAGAGAGCAAGGGCCTCGCGTATGGGAGGTGCGGGTGGCGATCTGGAGACCAGGAGTGCTCAAAAGCAGCAGGCCGGGATGGGGCTCAGATGCCACCTCGCCAGCTGGGAGTGACCTAGTAGCGCCCGCACGACTTTGGGCAAACCACAGAGCCTCCTGAGGCTCAGGGTCTTCATCTGCCCACCAGGGCACTGAGAGACTGCAGTAGTCGGAGGCTCTGGGCTCACCTTGAACATGAAACCCGGGGGCAGGTCCAGGCGCCCGGCCCCACTGCCGCCCTCCACGGTGCCATTCACAGTTGCTGGGAAGGTCTCCACCACGACAGCAGGAAGAGAGCTCTGGTGGCAGAGGTTCGGGTCAGCTGGGCAGGGAGGTGGTCCAGGGACAGCCAGGGCCACCGAGAAGAGGGGCGGGGAGGGGAGAAAGGTGTCTGTGCCTGGTGCCAGACCAGCCCGCCTCCAGCTTCCTCAACAGGAGCCAGGCCTGGACCAGCACCAGCAGGGGCCACAGGGGAGCCCCGGGCAGGCAGGCGGGCGGCAGGGAGGAAAAGGCAGGGATTCGTCCCTGCTGTCTTACGGAGGCTGCTTCACTTGCCGCCGTCTCCCCTGGCTCCTGGGCTCCAGCCGCAGGTTGGGTCCCACCCGCCACCTCCGAGGCCTCTGCTGGCTGCAACATAAATGCCGGCTTGGGGTCAGACACACGACAGGACACAATCAGGACACAGGAAACAGGCCACAGGAGGGCAGCACCCAAGTGAGAGGGCTGGGGGCATCGCCGGGCTGGCAGCAGGGTCTAGAGCCGCCCAGTGTCTCGAAGAATCCAGGGAGCCCCTGCTGGACAGGTCAGGCCCTGGGCCCGGGAAGCAGCTGAAGAGTAGGTGCTGGCAGGCCCAGGGATGTGAGTGGCATGCTGTGAAGAAGCCCAGTGCAAGCCCCGGAGTGCCACCCCCAACCCCGCCTCACAGGCCCTTCCCTCTCGGCACCAAGACCTCACCCAACCACAGCCACCGCCCGCCCACCCTGCTTGGCCTGGCAGGTGGCAGGAGCTTTCTGAACCTATAGATGGTCCATGGCAGGGGACAGCAGCATACATCTGTCCCAGCCTGAGCACAACCAAGCACTGCCTGTGCGGTGCAGCCTGTGTGCAGCCCAAACCCAAGAAGGGTGTGGCACAGCACGGGCACCATGGCAGGCCCTGCAGGGGCCCCAGAGCTGGGCTGACCTGGGCCAACACTCAGACTTGGCCACTTCTGAGTGCTGGAACCAAGTGACTCAACCCTTCTAGTCCCCCATCTCCTCATCTGTCAAAGGAGGAAGTGTCTGGCTGGCAAGGTGACGATGGAGATTAAACGAGAAGATTCTGGAAAGTGCCTGGCATAAACCAGTAGGTGCTCTAAACGCTCCTCCTCCTACTCTGGGAGGCCTGAGCTGGGAGGCTGCGCTGGGAGGCTGGTCTGGGAGGCCTGAGCTGGGAGGCCGCACTGGGAGGCTGTGCTGGGAGGCTGGGCTGGGGTGGGCGAGCAGGAGGGGCTGATGTGCCCAGCCGTGCTCACTCACCCCTGGCAGCCTTGGTGACAAGCCCATGCTGGGGCAGCCTAGCTCAGGACACTGTCCTCACACTCACATCCATGGTGGCCTGGTCCCTCCTGCAACCCTTCCTCGGGGCTCTCCTTCCATGCTGCAGCCCCAGAGACTGGGGACAAGCCAGACAGGGGCTGGAGGTGGGCACTTACTTGGGCAGGCCCCGGCTCGGCCGTCTGGCTGGGCCAGGACACAGCAAAGGTGCCCTCGGCAGCGCTGGGCTCCCCAGAAGGCAGGCTGCCGGCTGGACTCTCTGTGGGCTGGTAACAGGCCACGAGGAGAGAACAGGGAGGGGGTGGGGAGGCCGGGATGGAAGGACAATGGGCAGGATCACAAGACAAGAGAAGATGTCACCAGCGGCTGGGGTTGGTGGGGCAGGGTGGGTACCAGCAGAGCCCGGCCGGCCACCCGCCTCCCACGTCCTCTCTCCTGTCACTGCCAAAGGGACAGGCAGTGTGTCTGCTGCCCAAGCTCAGCACCTACCAAAACCCACTTGTCAAAATGGTCCTACAGCCCACACCAGGCCGGCTTTTTCTGGCTTCCTCCACAGGGAGATCCTGCCGTGGAGCCTCCAGAGCTCCCAGGAGCCTGGGCTGCCAGCGGGTGCCCCAAGAGCACCTGCACACCCACCTGCCCCTCCCAGCGTCTCTGCCTTTATCAGGGAGTCTCAGGGACACAGCCCAGGAGACCCTGTTGGAATTCTGGCTCTACCATGACCAGTTCTTGGGCAAGTACCGAGCCCTCCCTGAGCCTCTGTGTCCTGAGCTATCAGGTGACAGCGACACGGGTCCTGTGTGAGCTGGCCTTGCACCTGCCTGCAGGCCCTGCTCTCAGAAGGCACCCAGCCACACCCTGTCTTCCCTGACGCTCTCAAACCATCCATTCCTCCCCTCTCCCCCTCCTCCCAAATAGCTCCCCACTGCCAAACAGCTCAGAGGGCAAGACTCTTCCACCCGAGGCCCTCCTGCCCCACACCCTGAGGACGCTCGTCCATCCTGGGTCACCGGCCCGCTTCTGTCCGGAGGCAGACACTCACAGGCTATGAAAACGACACCAGATTTCAGGGGACCCCTGTCTCAAACTAAACTGAGGATCCCCTTTTCCAAGGGCCTGCCAGAGGGAGCAGCAGCAGAATGGCTGGAGATGGACGGCCTCACCAGCTCCCTGTGCTTGAGCACATGCCTGTGTGTGCTGCGGGTGGGGTGTGTGTGGGGTGCGTGCACCTGTGAACAGGCTAGGAGGAGGCCAAGGCATGTGGGCCCGGACGCATACGAAGAGTGGCTCCCACAGGGGCTGGACACAGAGCAGATACACAGCTTACCTCCCAGAGATCCCACGGAATTGACTGAGCGCAGCAGTGAGGGCGAGAAGGACAGTTAGCACAGAGGTTAGAGACAGGGTGGTAAGCAGTCCCCAGGGACCCTACCCCCGCTCGCCCCAGGCCCTCCAGCCCAGCAGGCGCAGGAGTGGCTCAGAGTCAGCTAGACTCCAAGGTTTGCAGGTGACTGAGCTCCTGACACCTCCCAGGGAGCTTCAAGACCCCAGGCCAGGATGCAAGATGAGCACAGAGATGCCGGGTGGTGCTCAGTGACCTCCTACTGAGAGTTCTCCCAGCTGATAAGGGGCTGCTCCCCGCCCTACGACCAGCAGGTGATGAGGGCCGAAGTCTGGGGTGCCAGGGGAAGGGCAGTGACCCAGGCCTAGATGGGGTCACATGGCCAATGGGCAACATGAGCCCAGGGTTGGGCACCTGGAGGCTGGTGGGCCCTTGGGCAATGGTGGGCACAACCAACCTGACCGGAGGGCGTGGGTGCCTTCACGGGGCTCGTCACGGGCGGGAGGGGGTCAAAGTCCAGGTCCAGCAGACTGGCCTGCTCCGAGAAAGGCCCCGGGGCCTCAAACTTGGCAGCAGCAGCAGAGGAGGAAGCAGTTAGTGTTAAGCTGGGAGCCCTCACCCCAGGCAGACACTGCAGGCGCAGGCACACGCATAGACACAGACACACACACACACACACGTGACACACATGCACAGAACAAGCGCACATACATGCACACACGCTGGCACACAGCCCAGGCACCAGCCCATCCACCTCACACCCAGGAACACTGCCCAAAGCCACGCGCCCCTGCACAGGCTCCCGCCCATACCAGGAGGACCCCAGTGCCTGCCTCAAACTCCCAGTCATAGGCCTACCCGTGGCCACCACCCCACAGGGCCAGTGCCAGGCCCCAGCTCTCTCCCGCCTCCATCCACAGGCTGGTGCCCCCCACCCCCCGCCCGCCCCGTGCCTGCACCTCCGCTCCACTCCCCGCCCAAGAGTAGCTGATTCTGCTACTCCCCAGTGGCAAGAGTGGCACCAGGCCACAGCCACCCTCAGTGCTCCCGACTGGGAAAGTTCCAAAGGCAGAGACTTCCCACTGGCTTTTCCTCAACCCAGACAGGCCGGTCACTCTCTGGCAACACCACCACCGGCCAGCTCCAGGGACGGAGGAAAGGGTGGACCCAGCCCACAAAGCCCAAGAGGCCAAGCTTCAAAGTGGGGGTCTTCAACATGCAGGGGCTTCACAACCACCTGGGGCACCTGGGTTAAAACTGCAGGCCCTTGACCCCTCCCCAGCAGCCACCCCCCAAGATCCCCTTCCAGTGAGCCCAGGAATAGGCATGTGACAGGCATGGCCCCAAGGATGGGACACGGTGGCCCTGGCCACACTGTGACAAGCCTTCCCATAAGCTGGGCCAGACTAGCATGGGAGGAAGGGGCTTCCTTAGAGCCCCCGGCACGGGCAGGAGCAATGACTCCAGTGAGCCCTGGGCAGCGCCCACGCCCACGCCCATGCCCAGGGCACAAGCTGCCTTCTGAGGAGCGGGGAGTGGCTCGGCTCCGGCCTCCATCTTGTACCTGGGGCTTCCCTTTGGGGGCCAGGGATAACTTTGCCCAGGTTTAAAAGGAGAGGGATGTGACTGGGGTGCTCCCCTCCCGGGCCCTCAGGCAGTGCTGGAAAAGCCCCAGCCCCACAGCCCAGGCCAGCAGCTTCCCGGCTCCACACACTCTTCACAGGCACTGGGCACGGACGGGGCGCCCTTCCACGCAGCCTCCACCATGAAGGACGTGAGACCTGGGGCTGTGGGTCGGGCTCCGCAGAGGCACCTCCACAGCTGAGCTGAGGGCCCGCTGGGAGAGACCCGAGGCCCTCAGTCCTAAGAACACCCAGCTGTCCCGCAGCTCAGGGGACGAGGCGTGGAGCAGTCCACATGGCCAACGAGGTGTCAGAGAGCCCAGGCCAAATGGACTCACTTCCTAGAACCAGGGGCCCCAGGCCCCAAGCCCTGCCCTGGGCCCATCCCATCAGCTGACTGCCCTTTAGGTCCAGCCCTGTCTGGGGAAGCCAGGGTGGGGAGGTCACTGCTCTGCCCCATAACCGGCCGTCTCTGAAGAAAGAGCCGTGAGGACGCCTGTGCACAGCTCCTAGGTGCCTCCAACCAGTGGGCGGCCAGCGTCTCTCCCCAGTGGCCCCCACCCTGCCCCAGCAACACTCTTCCCTCCTATCTCAGAGAAGTCAGCCAACCCAGGCAGCCATACCCGTCGTGTGCCGAGGGGAGGGTCACCCGCCAGAGAGCTCACCATCCCTTCGCTGTCCTGCCCTGGCAGGTGGCACCTCGCCATGCAGGCCCGGGACTGTCCCTCCATGCAAGGACATAGGCTATTCACCACCCCACAGCTGGGAAGCCCGTGGGCACCAGCGTCATGGACAAGGGCACGCCCACCCCTGCCCCATGCCCCACCCAAAGGTCATGGCTCCCCCACCCCAGACCAGGAAAACCAGTTGCCTGGAGATGGCACACACGGTGGCCAGGGAGGCAGGTAGGGTATAGAGGGACAGGCGCACTCAGAACCTGGGTATGGGTGGTCTCTGGGCCACCTCCTGGCCTGGCACACCTTGTTCTGGCGTGGGCCTGCGGCACAGGCCCTAGGTTCCTTGCCTCACCTGTTAAATGGGGGCATGATGCATAATGGGGGCATAATGGGATATAGGAAGTGGCTGGCACCATTCCCCGCTCAGTATTTGCCAGTGTCCATGCCATCCCATCTCCCTCACCTGCACACACACTGGGCATCCCCAGGGCGGAGGCACGCTCGAGCCAGGGAGGTCCTCAGCCCTGACCCCACACTGCTCTTCCTACATCGCCCTCTGCCACCATCCCACAGAGAGGGGCTCCCAAGCCTGCCAGGTCCCTGACACCTGCGTCACTCACCCAGACACCTGCAGCCAGACACCTGCACCCAGACACCTGCACCCAGACACCTGCACCCAGACACCTGCAGCCAGACACCTGCACCCAGACACCTGCACCCAGACACCTGCACCCAGACACCTGCAGCCAGACACCTGCACCCAGACACCTGCACCCAGACACCTGCAGCCAGACACCTGCACCCAGACACCTGCAGCCAGACACCTGCACCCAGACACCTGCAGCCAGACACCTGCACCACCCTGCAGCCAGACACCTGCACCCAGACACCTGCACCCAGACACCTGCACCCAGACACCTGCAGCCAGACACCTGCAGCCAGACACCTGCACCCAGACACCTGCACCCAGACACCTGCAGCCAGACACCTGCAGCCAGACACCTGCACCCAGACACCTGCACCCAGACACCTGCACCCAGACACCTGCAGCCAGACACCTGACCACACCTGCACCAGACACCTGCACCCAGACACCTGCAGCCAGACACCTGCACCCAGACACCTGCACCCAGACACCTGCAGCCAGACACCTGCACCCAGACACCTGCACCCAGACACCTGCAGCCTTGGATCTAAAGCTCCTTAGTTCTAGCCCTAGTCTTTGCATAGGGGCTTGAGGCCCACCATCCCCAACCCTTCCTAGCAGCGACCACTGTTCGCAGTTCCCAGCAGCCACTCCCCACACTCACACCCTCCAACCTATCCCCGCTAGGCATCTGAGCTGTGTGAAGGGGTTTGCTGGAGGCCACCACAGCCTGGACTGGACAGCCTCCCCTACAGGCGAGGCTCCCCATGTGGGAAGGGCCCTGGCTCACCCACAGGAGGGAGGCCGAGGCCTGGATGGCTGGCCTTGAGGAGGCAGTCAGCTCTGGGGGAGTGCAGGGAAGGCCGGCCACCCCTGGGCAAATCTGACAACACATCAGCCCACTCCAGCACTGGCGAGTGGCGCTTCCAGCAAGACACTCCCGCCAGGCCCCCACCAGGAAGGACGTGAGACCTGGGGCAGTGGGCCGGGCTCCCCAGAGGCACCTCCACAGCTGAGCCGAGGGTCCATTGGGAGAGACCCAAGTCACCCTGGGTGGCTCCCTGCTGCATCTGGGCATTCCACACCTCTCAGGGAGTGTGCACGCAGCAGCTGTGCTCTGAAGCCTGGCCGCTGCCCCCGCCCTCAAGTGACTGACAGCAGCTGTGGGAGCTGAAGTCCAGGTGCTTCAGCCATTCCAGGGCCTTCCAACTCTCCCTGCCCCTGGAAGCCTTCCCTGACACCACAGGTCCTCCACACTCCCCGATCCCCTCTGCCAAGTACCCACTGCACCGCAAGGGCACTGCTGATGTGACTGCTGTGCCGGGAGGGATGGGCACCTTTCCCCGCTGGGGCCCTGCATCCAGCCTTAGTACATGCTCAGAGATGGGTGATGATGATGGAGGATGATGGACAGAGGGAAGGAAGGGTGAGAGAGGGAAACTGACAGTCTCTCTGGCCAGATTCTTGGCTCTTGAGACAGAAGCATAGAGGATGAAGGCCATGCACGCCCTGAGAGGGCAGGAAGAGAGGAGAGCTGGGCCGCGGTGGCCGCGGCTGACCTGGGAGGGGGTGGTCACGCTGATCTCAGGGACAAACGTGTCCTCAAACAGGCTGAGGATCTGCTCCTGCTTGACCTCCTTGGACGGGGTGTGTTTGGGAGGCGGAGGGACTGGTGGGCCTTTCCGGAGCTGTGGGTCGGCGGCGGGTGAGGGGCCGCGCGGGAAGGCACAGCAGAGCACGGGGTTTGGGGGAGACAGACAGAGACGAAGACACGGTTAGTCACACCCCAGGCCACAGCCCCACCCAGGCCACTGAGCAGGGCGCAGCAAATGAAGATTCGCTGCCCTCCCAGCCCCAGGACACAGACATCAAGACCGCAGGCCACCCCCGAGAGGGACACAGAGGCAGGAGGTCCAGAAACGCTGTGTGGAGAGATAAGAGAGAGGTGAGGGGAGAGGAGAGAGGGAGAGCGAAGAAGAGGGAGAGAGGCCCCGGGCTGCCCGCTGGCCAACTGTGGGAGGGTCTGGCTTCCACCTGCCTGGCGAGAAGACTGGAGAAGGAAACAATCGCTGAGAGACAGCCAGGCCCCAGGCTCGCTCTGCCCACCTTGCCCTTCCCGCAGGCACCTCTCTCCACCTCCCCCCACCTCCCAGGGCATAGGGCCGCCCACAGGGAGCCCAGCTCAGACGAGTGTGTCCCAGAGGAAGCCAGCATGGCACCAGGATGGGGCACAGGCCACACCCCTGCCCGCCAGGTGGGGGACCTCAGGCAGGTCACGCACCCACGAGGCTGGGCTTCCTCATGTGTCGGGTGATGACAGCGTCTGCTTCACAGGGGGTTTGTGGGGACCCAGTGAATGAAAACCCAGAAGGCACTGGCACCATGTCCAGGTCAGGGGAAGTGCTGTTCGGTGCAGGCTCCCACCACGTCCTTAGCCCTGCTATCCTAGTCAGCAGCAGGGCAGGGTGGCGGCAGAAAACTGGGAGCTGCAGGAGGCCCGGCTATGAGAACACCGCCACCTGGTCGGCCAGCGCCTAGGGCCCTGCAGACACCTGGAGAGCCCGCTGGGGACAGGTGGGGTGGAGACGGGGACAGTCCAGAAGCCCAGGACCTGCCCCCTTAGCCACCCCACACTCTCCACTGAGCCCTTCCTCTCTCTGTCCCTTTAAAGGCCCTGCGTGGCCACCTGGCTGGGCTCCTCCCTCAGGCCCCTTTAAGACAGAGAGGCCAGGAAGAGGGACAAGCAGCCCGCTCCGGAGATCCGGATGCTCTGTAGGCTGAGCGCCCAGAGCCTCTGCTAGGGAGGAAAAGAAGATGGAGAAAGAGTCAAGCAGCCAAAAGACCAGGGAGAGGGAAGGGGAGGGCGCTGCAGTAGGGGTGGGCCCTGGGGAGGGGCGAGCAGTCACAGATGCCTCCCGGAAGCACGCCAGGCTGGATGAGGGGAAGGAGACCCAAGTCCAGGCCCAACCCCCACTGGGCAAAGCATCGGGTCCATAGCTGCCCAGGCCAGAAAGGGAACAGAGGAGTGGGAGGATGGGGGACAACAGCAAAGCCAGAGGAGAATGAGGGAGGGCAATGGACCTGCCACGGAGACATCACTCCTACCTGAGATGGGGACTTGGGGAGGGTGGCTCCGGGCGTGGCCCCGCCGGCTGGCTCTGGCTCGTGGTTGACTCTGATCTCGGGGGTGGCGGCAGGGGAGCCATCTGGAGGTGAAGGGCTCTTGTTCCCTTTTGCAGGCGCGTTGTCACTGTGGGGGCAGGACAAGAAAGGGAGCCCAGTGTTGGGGGACTGAGGCACAGGAGACAGAGGGGCAAATGTGTTGACATCTGTGTGAAGAGGTGTGTGCATATGGAGGTGTGAGGCCGTGTGTGTGTGTGTGTGTGTGTGAGAGAGAGAGAGAGAGAGCGGGAGGGTGGGGGGAGCCAAGGGACCTGGGCTTGGGGGGCTGGAAGTGGGGAGCCTGCCTCAGAGACAGGAACAGCCCAAGGCAGGACTCCAGGCTGGAGGTCTACAGTCCCCAGGAGTGCTGGCAGGCACCTTGGAACCATCTGTCGCAGAGGCCAGACCAACACCACCACAGGCTCCATGGGGTCCACCAGGGCCCATGCTGACAGCCCAAGATCCACAGCAGGAGGAAGCCAGACATCCTAGAGGCACAGTGAGTCTCCCACACCACAGGCAGCAGCCCCTCTGTTCTGGGGGCCGCTCCCCAGCCTGCTGCCCCCAGGCCTCCTCGCTGCCCTCCCTGCCTGTCCATCACAGAACCCTGGTACATGTCTCCAGACCTTGGCTCTCCTGTCCTCTAGGCCATTGGAGGCCAAAAGCAGGGCCTGGACAAACTAAGAGAGGCGTCCTCATCACAGAGGAGTGGGCAGCTGGCGATGGAGGGGACAGGTCCTGAGCCATGGCATTCAGTGCCAGAACGCAAGGGGGAGGTGGTGTGATGCTGTGCACCCCGCACAGGGTCAAGGGTGCAGGGAAAAAATTCTCTACCAGAACCTGCATAGAGAGGCCTAGAAAGGCGCTGCCCAATATGATTGCCACTAGCCACCAAACCTGAGTTTGGCAATGCAAACTCAAATCAGTGAAATTTACGTGTAATTTAAATGAAAAATTCCGCTGCCCAGTCACACTGGCCAGTTTCAAGTGCTCGATAGCCCCATGGGGTAACTGGCATCTGTGCTGGACAGTGCAGATCTAGAAGCATCCAGCAGGAACCAGTGACCGAGTCACCTGAGGGCAAACCGTGGAACAGCCTAAGAGATGTCGCTGACACCATCTTTCCTTTTGGAATCTGTGTTTTATGGGAATGTATTCTCCTTAAAGAATATATATAAGTATATAGTATATATAAGTGTGTGTGTATATATATATATATAAGTATATAGTATACACACAGAATTTTTTGAAAAACAAAAAACCCCACCGTGCCGCAGTGTCACCTCCCTGGCCCTCCCCAGTTCTCCTTCCCAGCCGCGTCCGCCATTGGTAAGTGCGCTGGTGGCCCGGGCACACCCAGGGCTAGACAACTGAGGGGCGCCCAGAGGAACGTGCTAAATCCAGCCAGCTGCTCAGAGGCCTGCCCGCCCCGCACCGCCTCCGCCTTCCCACCCAACACACACACGCACACACACACACACACGCCAGCCCTGCCGGGCAGCACTGCACACAGAGCCAGGTTACGGGTTAGTGGCGTCTGGGAGCGGGCCGCAAGGCGCATGCACAGGGCCGGCCAGGGCGCGGACCTCTGCGCCCCCCCGCAGCACTCACTGCCGGTACCTGTTCTTCTTTCTGCGCAGCCGCGAAAACAGTTTACTTTTCTTTCTGTGGGGACGGACGGGAGGTGGAGGCCTTCATTCTGGAGAAAGGCCAGGGACAGAACTGGCCCGTCCCCTTCCCTCTTTGCCAACCCCTCTGCTCAGAGGACAAAGGGGCAAAAGCCTCTCCTAAGTGCCAGAGGCCTTGCAGAGGGCCTGGGCCTGCTATCCCAGGGTGCCCGGGCAGGCCCCTGATGTGGCCAGGTGCCCGGGGTGATGCTAACAGGGCCTGGTGAGGGGCAGGATGCTCGGGGCAGGGGAGAGTCACCCTGCCTGTGGTCCCAGTCCCCAGGAGCTCCAGGTGTGCCCAGAGTGCCAGAAAAGGCCCCCAGGCCAGCACAGAGTGCACAAGAGGCCACTCGGCTGGAAGGGAGGCTCCTGGGCCTCCACTGTCCCTCTCTCTTCCCTCCACCTCCTTCCTGAGGGGAGCCATGGTTCTGGCCAGGACGGCCACGCTTACCCCCTGCTGACCCATCCCAGTGTTCCCACCTGTGCCTACAGGCCAGGCAGCTGCCCCTCCCTGCCCGACCTTGGATTCACATTTTGGCCTTTATTCTACAACCCTCCCACACCCCCCCACTGCCACAATGCCTCCCTCCTCACCTCCCCACTCCCAGCCTCAGGTCACCACGGCCCCTCTCTCAGCCACAACTATTTTATGTTCAGGGAAGGAGGGGGCAATCACCACCACCCAATACCCTCATCATCCCAGGCAATACCCCAGGAAGCAGACAGTCGCCCCGTTTTACAGAGTTCCCCGGTGCTCTCCGCGCCCTGCTGTGATGTGCGTGTGTGTATGCACACACTCACACCTGTTGCACACAGTCCCCCTCACACACACACACGCAGACACGGCCAGAAGGGAGGGGAAGTCCCGGGCTCGCTGCTTCCTCTGATCCACAGCCAGGAGAGCAAGGCGTTTCCCTCCTCCCCCATGGTTCCCCCTCAGGAAACAGAGATCTCCTTGCAGCTGGGCTTCCCAGGCTGAGGACAGGAAGAGGACGCCCGTGCAGGTGAGCAGAATGCTGCCATCCAGGGACATGAGCTTTTCCAGAAGCAGGAGAGAGAAGGGCGGCGCTACCTCCCTGCTCTGAGAGGACCGCACACCCCAGAGTCATTCAGTCCTGTTCACACCCCCCAGTCCCCAAAGCTGAGCAGGCTGCCCACTCCAACCCCGGATGCTCCTGCTCCACAATGATGGGGTCCGCCAGCTCAGGGACCCGTGAACTCCCCAGAGTGCTCCTTCCTCAACAAACACAGCCAGAGGCACAGGGACATTCGAGACAGAGACCTGCCCTCACCTGCTTCCCTGAGCACAGAGAGGCCGAGACAGGAAGGTCCCTAGACCTCCAAGGCCAAACTCACAGGGGACCAGGGAGGGCACCAACAGGGTCACAGGAAGGAGCCCTGCCCCTGCCGTGCACACAGTCACGTGTGCCAGGGCTTTCCCCGCACGCACCTGGGCTGGGCCTTGACCGTGAAGGTGTTGCTCCCGTGCTGCTTCTCCAGGCTGACCAGCACGTCGTTGAGGTTCTGGTTGAGCTGTGGGAGAGACAGTGAGGAGGTGGGGGGCTTCCAGGGCCACCAAACAGCCCCACCTTCCCCAAACACCTCTGCTTCTGCCCACCACCTCCGGCCCCTGGCCAGGAACAAGCTCCTCTTTCCCCATCTGTGGGAGCAAGGAACCAGCACACCAAACCTAGAAAAACCAAGGGGCAACAAAACGGGGCCAGTGGGCTACATCACTAATGCCTGTTGTCTCTGGAAGCTATCTTTTCCCCTCCTACTTATAGGGATATCCTAAAATGCCACAGAGAGCATGAACTATTTTTACACTTTTCTCTTAAAAATTGTTTTGGCGGACTGTTGATCTTAATTGTTAAGGTCATTTTGCCAAGATGCTTTCAGACCACACTGCAACTGCTGGATATTTCACTGAAAGCACAGGCACGAGAGAAGGTTTATTCCTCACACATGGTGATTCTCATTACTGAGAATATTCCTCTCTTTGATTTGGCCACGAGGGAGCTCACAGCTGAATTTTCATCCTATTTATAGACAACTATGTCCTGTGGCATATATTTTTACAGATTAATTTTATATAAATGTTTCTTCTCTAAAACACCTCTCTCTGTTTTTTTAAACTTTTCATAAGTTGTCTCAAATCTTCAAAGGGAAAGGGGAAAAGGTAAGAAGGAAAGAGAAAGTCTAAAAGGCAAGAAACCATACTCAGGGGTGTGAGTCAGAAGAGGCCCCAAGCTGCTTTTCCTCCTCCGACCCTGGGCCTGAAATCCACCATCATCACTTCATCCCTCTGGGCCCGAGACACAAAGTCAGACCCACACTGGGGGCGGGGGTGCCAGCCCTGGGTCTCTCCAACTGCAAAGTTCAACACCTTTGCGTTTTAGTTGCCAGATAGGTTAAAATGAAAATAACACAACAGAGAAAGGTAGGCTAATCAGTCCAGACCCTGTCGCACAGTGGATTCATGCAGATGAAACAGGCCTATTTAAATGTCTCAAAAACATGGGAGTAAAATTAAAATGGAGAAAATGCTGGTAATTTTCTTCCTACAAATTGAGAAACTGCCACCATTGTCTAACACTGCACTCCCTGGGCCAAGGTTGCTAGAGAACACATTCACAGTTTGAGAGGGCCTGGTCTACATTCTCGGGTGGTCTGCCCGGGCCTGGTCTACATTCTCAGGTGGTCTGCCCAGGCCAGGACCCAGAAAACGCTCACAGCCTCCCGGCATGCCCTGCTGCGCTCCCTGGGCCCAGGCACTCCTGAAGGGGGCTGTTCCACGGGGCATGGAGGGAGCGCTGTGGTCACCAGTGTGTGCTGAACCTGGCAGGGAAGGAGGAGCTCAGGCCGCCCCTCCCACAACTCTGACTCTGACCCTTGGCCAGGGTGGAGCGTGGCCCCTCAGAGGAGTCCCCAGGGCCTACCTTGCTCATCTCCTTGTGGAAGTTTTCCTCTAGGCCCGCGATGCTCTGGAACGTGTTGACGTAGAAACCTACGCGGCTACAGAAGGGCAGAAGGATGGGGGCCAGGTGAACAGGCAGGTCAAGGCAGCAACTCAGAAACACACTCACCCACGAGCAACCACACGTGCACATCAGAGACACAAACCCGAGAGTGCCCAGGCACCACAGCACACAGGCTGGGCACCGCGCCGGGCCTCACCTGTTCCACAGGGAGGGCAGCTCCTCCTGCAGATCCACATTCATCTCCTCAAACACCTTCTGGGCTTTGATGAGCTCCTCCTCGGCCTGGAGAGCAGCACGGGTCATTCCCCTCTGCTGGGTGTCTGTCCGAGACAGCCCAGCCCCGTGGCCAATCCACCCACCTCCTGCCCACCCCTCCTGGCCAGTGCGCCAGGACCAGGGCTCTGGGCAAGACAGAGGCTGAACTGGATGCGGACACCCACGATGGCGACCTCCCCGTGCAGCCCTCCGGGACCCTGAGGATGTCTGAGAAAGGGAGGGCTGAGCAGCCAATGCCAAAGAGAGGCCCAGGTGGCCGGGAGGGCAGTGAGCGGCGAGGAGGGCACAAGAGGGGCCAGTCCGGGGCTTGGTGAGCTGGACACAGGACATGCACAGAGGCAGACCCCAGACCCAGCCAAGTGGGGACCCCGCCCACTTCCACATGAACCCCCTCAGGCTGGGCACCAGCCCTGCCGCTGCCTTCTGGCTCTCAAGGCAGCATCTGTCGCCGTCCCCCACCGCCCCTGCCCCTGAGTGCTCCCTCCCCGTTTCTGAGGGCCAGCTCCTGGCAGCCTCAGCCACCATCCTTCACTTCACCTCCCAGGGACAGTCCTTCCCACAAAGCCCTCTGTCTCCTGGGACCTGTCTCCACCAGAGGGAGACCAGAGGCAGCCACTCAGGCACCTCTAGGAACGTCAGGGGGACCCTAGAGGAGGGTGCAGGGCCAGGGAGGAGGCGGCCGGGCAGCTGGGCAGTGCCTGGTCCTACTCCCGGCCCACACCTTCCCCAGGGCAGGCCCTGCGCCCTCCAGGCCACTCACACCCACCAGGCGGTGGCGCTCAGGCCCCATCGCACGGCCACAGAGTGCTGGGGAAGGGACTGCAGACGGCAGGTGAGTCACAGACCCCGCCCGGTGCCCAGCCCACCCGCCCGCCTGGGGAAGGGGCTCTGCTGGCTCACTGCAGGAGGACACTGCCGGGGAGAGTGACTCAGAGGTTCGGGGTGTGAGTCACAGCCCAGGAACGTGTCAGGCCCCGCCTAGGGAAACTCCCCGCCAGCAGCCTCACGTTCTCAGGCCCCGGCTGAGGCACCGGGCTGGGCTGCCTTCTGGCAACGGCAGCCAGATGGCCAGAAGGCCACTTAACCACAAAGCACACGATTGCCCCAAGCCCAGCCAGCCTGGGCCCCATCCAGTCTCAGGCAGCAGGAGTAGCCCAGGTCAGCCCCTAGCCCCAGGGACTTGGGTTGGGACTGGAGGAGGGGCCACCACGGCTTCTCACAAGTGACCTCCGGCTACTCGCTAGAGTGGGTGTGGGCTCCTTGCCTGACTTTTTAGAATCTAATAAAAATGTAAAGGCAGATCTGGGGGGCAGGGAGAATGTCTATTCAAACATGCATGCCTCTCTTAGATCCAGGGGCCCTGGGCAACCCACACCAGGCTGGGGTGAGGAATACTGTCCCTCCTGCCTCTCCAGGCTGTGGCTGGGCCATCTCTGCCCTACTCCTCTGGGCATCCCAGGACCTGGAAGGGGGGCTGCCAACCATGGTTCTATGGAACTCATAAAATGAGAGACTCCTAGGGGTACTGTTGTGAGCCGAGCACCATCACACATACTCCCCGCCCTCAACGGCCAAGAGGGGGTCTAAAGTCCCACATTCCACATGAACCTGCCTGAACCGCCCGGCTTCTCTACCCACTAGGACCCCCTCTCCATGAGGATGCAGCCACCACCCCCACAACTGCCCAGATGGCAATGGTGGGGACAGCAGTGAAGACAGCACTGCAGCTTGTCTAGGGGGCACATCTGCCCCCAGCCATGCCCTCACAGCTCAGCAACGCTACAGAAAGCCCGAGCCCGGACAGTGCCGCTTGAGTTCCTGAAGTCAGGACTGTGTCTTGTATTCCCTCTGGTTGGCATTCCTCATATTCTGGCTCTTTCGGAAGCATGTGGAAGGGGCAGGGAGGAAGGTGAGGGCTGTCTGCCATGTCTGCCGTGAGGGGAGAGTGCCCCCACCCCAGCTCCACCGAAGCTAACAGTGGAGGAGAGCAGAGTCACGTGGGCCCGGGGTCCCGAGGACAGCATTCAGGACGCTAGGGCAGGTGTGGAGAGCAACTCAGAACTGGTCCCAGGTCCTCATGGAGCCAGCCAGCTCCCCTGGTACAGCCTAGAGAGGATGCACTGTCTCCCCAAAGTCAAGTCCCCCAGCAGGGCAGCCCCGGAGTCCCAGCTGTCCCATCTCACAGCCAGCCAGCTGCCCACAGGTCACGCCAAAGGTTCTCCAGCCTCCAGCCAGGTATGAGTGAGGTGGGTACAAGGAGGATGTGCTCAAAGAAAAATGGGACCCAATTGAGACAGCCAGTTTGGCCAAACTGTGAAACATTCACAACACAGCACCCAAAGATGTGATCGCCTGCCTCACCCTCTTGCTGCTCCCCCAGGAGCGTGGGCGTGGGGGCAGGCCCTCCCTCCAGAGTCCCAACCCCACCTGTCCCAGGAGCCCAAAAGCACTGGGCAGGCCCCATAGCCTCCTAAGGAGTTCTCCCCTCCACAAAAAAATGTTTCACCTGTTTCAGGGAAAATTATTCAGAAACCCCAGCCCTCAGTCAGTAGTCCCATTTCCCTTCTAGCCCAAGTGCTAAACTGACTGGCAGGGCACACCCACTCCAGCCCCTGGTTCCTCCTCCACCTCCAGAGGCAGATGAAGTCTCAGGCCTATTGAGGGCCCCTAGGCATCACCCCCAGCCCCTGGCTCTCCATGGGCACCCTGATCTCAGGATGAGGCTGTCAGCACTCAGTGCCTCCAAAGTCAGCGCTGGCCTAAAAGAAATCAGGCAGCAGATCAGGTGAGAAATTGGACAGCCAGGCCAGGAGCAGTGGCTCATGTCTGTAATGCCAGCACATTGGGAGGCCGAGGCAGGTGGATCGCTCAGCCCCAGGAGTTCAAGACCAGCCTGGGCAACAGAATGAGACACAGTCTCTACAAAAAACTTAAAAGATTAGCCAGGCACGGTGATGTGTGCCTGTGGTCCCAGCTACTCGGGAGACTAAGGCAGGAGGATTGCTTGAGTTGGGGAAATCAAGGCTGCAGTAAGTCATGATCGCACCACTGCATTCCAGCCAGGGGAACAGAGTGAGACCCGTTCAAAAAAAAGAAAAAGATATTGAACAGCAAGCCATGCTAAGCCCACCCAGAGCGCTCCATGTCGCAGGCACTCCAGGAAAATGATGAAATCAACAGGCAGCTTTGAAAAAATGGGGCAGCTGCCCAGAGAGAAACCCAACCTCCTGGGCCGGGCCCCTGTCGCTGGCCCCTCGGGAATATGAAGAAGTGTGAGGGCCGCATCCAGGCTGTGACTACGCTGACCCGAAATGTGCCTCAGTTTCACTGGAGAGAAAACCACGTGACCCACCTCTCATAGGGCACTGCATCCAGAGGTCCCTGGCCACACTGTGACCCATTTGGAGGACAAGGGGCTGAGAAGACCATAGCTCTATGGCCAGGATGGTGAGATGGCCCAGTTTTGTAAAAAGAGCCTCCTCCAGGAAGTCCCCCAGGAACACTGTGGTGCTGGTCACTTGCCCTCCATGAATCCCCAAAGGCCGAGGACCCATGCTTCCCCTCCAGGTCTCAGCATCCCAGCCAGACTGGAGGGTCCTCCCAGTAACTCCTCCAGAGTCACCATGGGGACCGCAAGTCCCAGGAAAAGGATGCAGGGACTTCAGTCAGGACAGTCCCAACCCTGCCCCTAACCGTTGGCTCTGGGGCCCCAGGAGGAAGCTGTGATGTGCCTCTCTGGGCAGCTTTGTCTGCTCAGTAAATTCAAGATGATCTCGGAGTTGTCACAAGGCTTGAAGGACAGGTATGGCAGTACAGGGGCCTGAAGATGTCGCCTCCCTCCCCAAAGGAGCCCTCAGAGAGGACAAATGGCTCAAAGGCATTCCTGGACCACTAGGATTTCAGAGGAGTCTCCAGGAATGACCACAGACGCAGACACGGAGTGGGCACACCTATGCCCCCACCCAGGTCACACAGAGCCCCTCAGCCAGTTCCTTTGACCCCTACATTTGACTTCAGGTCTCCTCTGAAGCAGGAGCTCTCCCAGGGAAGGCCTTTGAAAAACCCTGCGCCAGCCGGGCTCAGACACCAGCCCTGCATTCCGCCGCAGGGCAAGAGGACAGGACGACAGACCGGAAGGCGCCAGCACGTGCAAGGTTAGAAGCCAGTGTCACCTGATTTCGGAGCAGGTTAGTTTGAGCTACGAGATGAGCCTGCAGTTTGCCTTGGCACCACTGGGGGGCGGCTTTCTCAAGCAGCGAGACAGGCTGGGGTGGGGAGGTCAAGGCAAAGGAAGGTGGAGAGACCAGGGAGGTAGGGAGAGAGAAACAGAGACACACAGATTAAATGCACGTCCACACGCCCCACGCGCGGGGGCCGCCCCAAGCAGATGTGGGCCCTTGAGGCCGACAGAATTAGGGGGAGTCCGAGGGGGCAAGGAGAGGGGGTGAACTCCAACTGCAGAGGCAAAAGGTGCTTGTGGTTAGCAGCACAGGGGGCCAGCAAGCAAGGCCCTGCCCGGAGGAGGGGGCCGCCCCAGCCCCGCATCACAGGATGAGTGGGGCCAGTTCTGCACCTACTGGCTCGCTCCAGCCAGGGACAGGTTGCCTGGGATCGTGTGACGAATTCCACCCGGCTCGCCAGGCAGGGCGGCGCCGTTCCAGGGAAACCCAAGAGGCCCATTCTCAGGCTGGCTGGTGGCCTGGATCAGGGCTGAGGGGCCAGGGTGGCACAGGGGTGGGGGCAGGAATGGGCCTACAGTGGACCTCACCCAGGCACCCACAGGGGCCTCTCACTCACCGGCCTGGGCCCAGCAGCGTCCCCACCCCCAGCTCAGCCACCTGGGGCCAGGCAGGAGGAAGGCTCCACCCTTGGGGTCCTAGACACCCACCCTCTCTCAGCCTCCTGCAGACGCGGCCCCGACCGGCCTCCAGCCCTTACCTTGGCGATTTTGGCTTCATCCTTCTTTTTGGCAGTTTGAAGGGACTCGTAGTGGTGCCGGGCACTGTCGTAGTCCACCAGCTTGCGCCCCCGTTTGGCGATGCGTGACTAGGGCAGACAGAGGAGGGTGCTGAGCGGGGCCTGGCACCCCTGCTGAGGCTTCAGGTCTAGTGGACCCTGGATGGACCCGCAGGGAGGGCAGGAGACCCCAGCTCCACAGGAACCCTCGAGACCCTGTTGCTGGAACCCTCCTGGTGACAGAGCTCGCCCCCTCCCGGCAGCCCAGTCCCACTGTGTGAAACCAGTTCCTTGCACTGAGCCCATGTGTCTGTGTCCACCAGCTGGTGACGTGTCAGCCAAGTCTTTTCCTTGGCCTGATCCGTAGCTTCTCATCTCCAGAGCCACCAACAATCAGACTCGGGGAGCTTGAGGCATCTGCACCGGGGGCCCCTGAGGCCAGCATGAGCATGACACCCCCATCCTGCCCACCAAGGGGATCTCGTCCAACCCAATGGTCAACCCAGGCTTCCATGTGCACATCACCGGGGACCACTCACCTCGGTGGAGACCAGAGACACTGCCAGCTCCTAGCACTCACCCAGGCCCAGCAGAGACAGCAGGCTTTGTGAATGCAAGCAACCACACAAACACACCCACACATGTAGACCCAGACAACAGGTGACATGCACACATACCCTTCCAAGCACACATGGTATAAACACAGGGGGCCTGCAGGCACACACACGCCTAGGCCCTACTCACCCTTCTACACCTTCCACAATCATAGAGCCAGCCACTCCACAGCAACACACACACGCGCGCGCACACACACACACACGTGCCGTGAGGCTTCCTCCCATAGCCCTGAGACCCAAAGGGACAGGAAGGTCCCAGTAAGTGGGCCTCTCACCTTGATGTCAGGGAACTGGCCCAGGTACGTGTCCATGGTCAGCAGCGCCTGGTCCACCAGCTTCTGGTGGTAATCCATCCACAGCAGGTCGTTGTTCTGAGACAGGCAAGAGCACGACAGTGCCACCAGGGGTGCTGGGCCACACCCGCCCCAGTGCTCTCCTCGCAGGGACCAGCCCCAGCCCCATCTCTTCACAGCTCGGTGGCTTCACAGAGCCTCAGTTTCCCCATCTGTAAGGTGGGGTAAAAGTTCCTGCCCTATTGGGGTGACTGTGAGGATCAGATACACTGAGGACTGGGGTCAGCCAGGGAGGTCTTGTGAGTCGTGAGCCATAACACACAAATAAGGACAACCACGACCCACCATCTGCCCCATCTTGGCGTGAGGGCGAGTCAGGAGAAAGGCCCTCGGAGAGGGAGGGCAGCTTGCCCCAGGGCACACAGCACGCGAATGCCTGAGAACCAGAGAGCCTTGTCCCAGAGGGCACGGCAGAGTGGGACAGGAGCTGAGACCAGAGGGCCCTCTGAGAAGGGCAGGGACACCTGTCCCATGCTCACCTCTGCGATCTTGTTTGCCTCATCCCTACCAGGCCAGTCAGGCTCATACACCTCCTGCAGACACTCATTCAGCTTCTTGGAAGCCTCGTGCATGGCTGTGGGGCAGAAAGGAAGTACGTGGGCCTCCCACTGATAGCCTTTGTCCCACCCTCCCCAGCTCTGTACCCACCAGCTCTACATGGGCCAGGTGTGCCCTGCCTGCCTCCTACCTTTGACAGAGGCCAGGTAGGTCCGGAGATCCTTCTGCAGCCGGGTGCCCTCGGTCTGCAAAGAGAAGGTCAAGGCTGAGGTCAGGGACTGATGGCACACCCAGTCCCTGACCCCTCTCCTTCCTACCATCCTCACACAAATGAACCAGGCTGCTCTCCTGACAGCAGCCACTGATCAGCTGACCTCCCAACAGGACAGCAGCTACGGCCACCACTCCTGCCTAAGGAGCCCTGTGTCCACAGGCACCCTTGCCCATGTTTGTGGGCACTTGCCCTCTTCCAGATGCCATTCTCAGCCTGGGAAGGAAGGCAGGAAGACAAAGACCCCCCGCTCCGGGATGATATGCTGGGGTTACGGCTGAATGACACACACACAGCACAGCAGCAGTATGCAGCAGCACCAGCACTCACAGACCTGCCCTCAGACACCTGCAGACAAGTAAGCAACGAGCACAGGAGTATGGACAAGGCAGGTGTGGTGACCGCCAGGCCCCCTGCTGCACAAGCTCAGGTGGTGCCCAAGGACAGAGAGCTCCCACTGCCTCATACTAGGAAAAGAGGGCCCAGTGCAAGCCTGTGCAGGGACAGAAGACCTGAGGAAGAGATGGCATCAGAGCAGGGTGGCAGAATGCAGGGGTCATGGCCAGGACTCACTGGCCCAGCTGAGAGCAGGGACATAGGATGTAGAGGGAAAAGGCTGAGGGGGCAGCGGGCTGGGTGGTGAAGCTCCCTGAGTTGGGAGAGTAGCCTCCAGGGGCTTCCTGAGACAACAAGACCAGCGGAGAGGGTAGAAGCATGGGCCAGGCCTCAAGTCCCTCTGGGACATCAAAACCAGAGCCAGGAAAGCTAAGTGGAGAACGCCAGGTTCCAGGAGGGGTGAACAACAGGTGATGCCAGCCGTGAGGTCTGAGACCATGCTCAGTGAGCTGTGGAAGCTTCCAGAAGCCATGTGTAAAGAGTGGGCTGCACATGGGCTTTGAGGCCATGCAGACCCAGCTGTGTCCTTTACTAGCCACGCAGCCCTAAGTAAGCTAGTGAGCCCCTCTGAACCTCATTCTCCTCGTCTTTCAATGGAAGGTGAATGATCCCTGCCTGGCTCTCCTCAGATCCAGTGAGACAGGCGAGGCTCTGGATCTTGAAGGAAGGCCTCAGGAGATGGGCTTCGTGCTAAGGACAGGAACGCGAGGCAGAGAGGCGGCTTGGGAGAGCAACAGTGGCTGAGGCTGACCTTCATAGTGGAAGGGTACCCCCCGGCCTCCTCTGCCTGCTGCCAGCCCAAGCCTTAGGGATACCCATGTTCTGGACACCTCCTGCCCTGGAGGAGAGGCAGCTGGCCATGGTCCCAGGAGACCCAGCATGCCTGCAGAGCGCCAGTCTGGCCAGCTGCACGCTTGCGCAAGAGCCGGAAGGTGGGCCCCCTCCGTTCAGGTCAATCTCCAGGCGAAGGCCAGCAGGGACCCGGCCACCTCCACAGGCTCACCCCCAGCACCCTCAAACCCCCTTCTGTCTCCCCACTGCAGGTCTTTCCCTGTCCTTAGCTGGGGCCGCTCTTCCTGCCCTGGTGCCTTGGGGACCAGCACCTTCCAGATGGTCTTCTCAACACCACTGCCTCACCTGGCAGCAAAGAAGGAGACAGAGGGTCGGCGACCGGCCCAGTCACACAGAGACTGGGAGAGGCCACGAGACCCTCCGAGCCTGGGCACGCAGCCCGCAGCGTGTTTTGTGGGTAATGGGTAGTGATGCGTCCCTGAGAACCCGCAGATCTGCCTACTATGATGAATGCTTCTGTGTGACAGTAGAGTCATCCACAGGGAGAGCTTCAGAGCAGCACATAGGATATATAATTTAAAGAGAGGACATGTGAAAAAAAAATCTCTACAATTCCTTTAATCCCCCGTAGAGTAGGGTGTAAAACACTGGCTAATCATCATCTTTACGAACATCCCAGTTCAAGGCCCGCTGATGTGAGACGGAGTGAAGAAACAGAAGAGCACTCCACAGACACGGAGACCTCCCTGGAATTCCATTCGGGGGTCGGATGGAGACCCTGCGGGGCCGACGAATGAAGAAGGGTCCACCTCACTCCTGACACAGCCACCCTAAGTCTTCACAATTAAAGGCTTTGTTGGTTGAGACGAGGATTAGTGTGTTCATGACGGGATGCTATTGTGTCCCCTGATGTCACCAAATCTTCCAGATCCAGCTTCTCTCCCTGCCAAGCTTCCACCATCCCAGCCACACCTCTCAGGCCTCCCCTCACCCACCCCCCGGCAGCAGGAGTCCCCATGGGGTGGGTCATTGTGCTCCCCCGGCCTTGGCCTTCAGGCCGTACCAGGGCTCCTTGTGTTTCCCAAACAACGCTGGGCTGTACGCCGGCACATGGCACGCAGATGTGCGAGGGGCCAGCTGGAGCACTGCCTCCCTGTGCCCACTGCAGCTGGCTTCCTAAGCTCCTCCTCAGTCCCCAGGGTAGACACAGCCCTCCCCAGACGGAGGCCCAGCCAGCTGCCCCCTGCAGAGCAGCGCCCAGGCCAGTACAAAGCAGTGGTGTTTGCTTCCAAACCGGCTCCCTCAGCCCCTAAACAGGGATCTGAGAAAGAATTCTCTGGAGGT